CTTCTGTTTGTCTTCTTGCTCTCTATAAATGAACATGTTTTAATTATGCTTCTGCTTATTATGTAAGGAAATTAAATCCTAATAAATTTGATGGGGGCCTGCCCCTTAGCTCAGTTCTTTAAGTGGCTGCTTCAACAAGGCAGTCAGGCTCAGGTTGCTGTGGTTCGATCCCCACAACTCAAGCCAGCCAAACCTGCCCTGAAGGCAGTAGGAGGAAAAAAATCCTAATGAATTGATCATGAACATTAGAACTGCTTAATAAGCATCGCTCTAGTTTTTCTGATCACCCAAAGCTAGACTGAAAAGGAACGTGGCCTCAACATAGCAAGGCAACTTGAACCCAACATTTCATTACCAATAAAGGCTTATTACTATTTATTTCACTCATCATTAGCTCTTCCAAAAACTACTAACTTCAACCTTGTAAAAGCTTTAAGGTATTCAAGTATGTCATGATTAATTCAGCATACTTACTGTTTAGCTCTTAGTTTAGCTTCCACTTTATTTTGCTTTCTTTCTTCATTTTTCTTTGCAAAATAATCTTCCCTGAACAACACAAAACAGAAAGGCTAACGTCATGAGAACAAAGACTAAATCATTTTGAATGATTTGAGCACAATATAGTAAGGAATGTTATACTGTCTATCAAAGTAACCACTTAAAATCTCAAAATATGAGCAGTACATTACAGTTTCAATTGCTAGAAGAAACAGCAAAAACTTACTTAAAAAGTATTAGCAAGTCTGTGTCTTTATACTTCTGGCCTGGAGTTTCTACAAACTTCTTAGCAGACTCAATGCTATCAAACACAGCAAATATTGATCCCTTAAATGCTTTGTGCAATGTTCTTCTCATCTGGATATTTAATATTTGACCCTTATCTTCTAGCCACTCTTTGATATCATCAAGGGTTGCATCCGTTGGGAAGCCTTTCTGTGAAAAGTGGGAAGACAGGCTTCAAATAATTCCAACGGGGCAGAGACAAAACATTATTTACATGTTAAGGTAAAATTTGAAGAATGTATATTACACTATTTAATCTACTTTTGTTATCTCAAACTTTCTGTAATTTTTTTTTTTTTTTTTTATGGAACCAGGGATTGAACTCAGGCTCTTGCGCTTGCCAGGGAAGCACTTATTCTACTGAGCCATCTCCCCGGCCCCTACAATAACTTTTAATATATGCTAATAATTGCTAGAGTTCTGCAAATTGAGTTTGTCAATGATAATGATAAACAAGAACGTGTGATAGACACTGGGTGCTTAATAATGGGTGCAATTAACACATTTATGAAAATAAGGCTTACAGAGGTTAAGAACACTGCCAAAGCACAAATAGGAAGTACTAACACTGTGATCCTTAAGCCCATATACTCCACTATATTTTCTTTCTTCTAAAGAAATATAAGAGATTAAGTGCATTGAAGACTTACAATATAAACAGATCTGTTTTTTACATCGTTTTTATACTCATCAGTTACTTCAGGGAGGGGTTTGTTTGGAGATCTTCTGATTTTAGTTTTATCTTCACTGATTTCCATGAGTTCTGCTTTAGATTTGCTCAATGCTTCTACTATTACATTGAAGTCTGTTGTTAGGCGGTTGAGCCTGAAGAGATACAGACATTTTAAAACTTAGTACTACTGTTCATTATTAACAAACAACCTAAACAATTCATAAAAGTTATTTATTAAGATGTTTAGACTCTGGGTGTAGCCCAGTGGTAAGAGTGCTTGCCTAGCATGCACAAGGCCTTCAATTTGCTCACCAGAACACACATAAACCAAAAAGGTGTTTACCTGTTGAATTTTATCATTATTTCCAAGGGTACCCAGCCTTCATCCAATTTGATCTGTTCCTTTAAAAATTTGTCCCGTGGCAAATTGAAGTCTCCAAAATAATACTGTAAGATAATTCAATATATTTCACATCTCAGAGCATCATGTAATACTGAGTCCCATCTTGAAACTTTTAAACCATTACACTATAAGCTCTAATTCCTTAAAACATTTATGTAACTTTTGTTCTATTCCATCTATAAAGAATAGATTGTTAAAGTAATCACTTTGATAGGTTGGTTTGGGGATGTTGAGACAAGGTCTCCCTATGAAGTTCAGGCTGGTCTTAAAACTTCCTATTTAGCCCAGGTTGGCCTCAAACTCATGGTGATCCTCCTGCCTCACCCTCCCAAGTACTGGGATTAGAGGCATGTGCTACCATGTCCCATTCTAAGCACTTTAATTTTTAATTTTTTTTTTAGCACTCTTATTTTTTTTTAAATACTTAGAAGGTCTATTTTTTTTTTAAATTTTATTTATTTATTTATTTTATTTGTGTGTGTGTGTGTGTGTGGCCAGCTCAGCCCACCAGGGGGGGCTGGCTGGCATGTGGTACTGGGGGATTGAACCGCGGTCCCTGTGCTTTGCTAAGCTTGTTCTAAGTAGGTGCTTTAGACCACTGAGCCATCTCCCCAGCCCAGCACTCTTATTTTTAAAAAACAAAAAAAGAATATCTACTTCAACAACAGAAGGGGCCTGGGGAGATAGCTCAGTTGAATAAGTGCTTGCCTGGCAGGTGCAAGGGCCTGAGTTCAATCCCCAATTCCACAAAAAAACCCAAACAAAACAAATGGAAGTACTGTTTAAAAGCAAAAAAAAAAAAAAAAAGGGGGGGGGGTGTCAAGGATGTAGCTCAATACGAGGTCCAATCTCAGCACCACAAATACAAAATAAAACAAATTATGAGTACTTGGAATGTCAAAAAGCAGCACAAAAGAAAAAAAGACAAAGACTCTCAGGCTGGGGTATTGGCACACACCTACAATCCCAGCACTCCAAAGGCTGAGACAGGAGGATCATTTCAAGTTCAAGAGCAGCCTAGGCTGCAAGTAAGCTCAAGGCCAGACTGAACTGCATAGTGAGACCTTGTCTCAAAATGACCAACCCACGGACCGACCAAACTACTTGTACAAATTTATTTATTTAGGTGGAACCGGGGATTGAACTCAGGCCCTTGTGCTTGCCAGGGAAGCGCTTATTTGACTGAGCTATCTCCCCAGCCCCTACTTGTACAGATTTAAAGGGGAAGAAAAAAATACAGTAAACAGTCATAGACAAACACATCAAAATTTTGTAATTTTAAAACGTACAAAAATTAATAGCAACAAGACAGGATTTTTTTCACTTAACTCATTAAAATTCTATAAAAAACAAGAATACCTATCATAGGGGCTGGAGAGATGGCTCAGTGGTCTAAAGCACCTACTTGGAACAAGCTTGGCAAAGCACAGGGACCGCGGTTCGATCCCCCAGCACCACATGCCAGCCAGCCCCGCCCCCTGGTGGGCTGAGCTGGCCACACAGACACACACACACACACACACACACAATAAATAAATATAAATAAAAAAAATTTTTAAAAAAAAGAATACCTATCATTGACCTGAATAGATAATAATCGTACAATTAAAGAAGTAAACTGGCAATAATGTCAAAAGTTTTTTTTTTTTTTTTTTTAAATATGTATAACTACTAAGCTAGTAGTCCCACTTCGGTTTCTTAATAAGAATTTTAAATCCGTAAATGTGTTTGCCAGAATTTATAAACAAAGCCATGCACATGCCTGTAATCCCAGCCACTGAAGAGGTTGAGACATACCATAGGTTGAAACTAGTCTGGACAATTTAGCAAGACGTGCCTCAAAATTTAAAAAGAGCTGGGGACACAGTTCAGTGCTTCCTGGGTTCAATACCCAACAATGCAGAAAACAAAACAACTCCCTCCCTAAACTATATCCATACCTGCACAGAACTATTATGGATAAAAATTAGAAAGATCCTATATGCTAAGGAGAATAATCACTGATGACAAAACTTTGCTTCTCCCAAAATACAGCCCATATTTGGTGAGAAGGGGTGGAAGTAAAAATTACGTAATATTACATATGTACCACTCCAGTGGAGAATGTTTAAGAAACCTCTACCTTCACACAATTTTGCTATGACCCTAACACTGCTCTAAAATATGATGCCTATAAATTGGGTGTGAGGGCTCACACCTACAGTCCTAGCACTTAGGAAGCTGTGGAAGGAGGATGCTACAAGGTCTAGGCCAGGTTAAATTATGTTGCAAGAGCCTGTCTCAAAACAAAACAACAGGGGTTTGGGAGATAGCAACTGCCTGGCAAGCCCAAGGATCTAGATTTGATCCCTGGCACCACATGGTGTATAGGCCCCGGATGGATGTACACCTGTAATCCCAGTGCTGGGGAGGCTGGGACAGAAGGATCACTATGAGTCTAAACTGCGTAGGCAAATCCTGTACCAAATAAAGATTAAAAGAACCAAACATTAAAAAGTTAGAGGGGCTAGTGAGATGGCTCAGTGGTCTAAAGCACCTACTTGGAACAAGCTTGGCAAAGCACAGGGACCGCGGTTCAATCCCCCAGCACCACATGCCAGCCAGCCCCCGCCCCCTGGTGGGTTGAGCTGCCCCCCCCCACGCAATAAATAAATAAATAAATGTTTAAAAAAAAATGTTAGAGCAGGGAGCAAAGTGGTAATAAAAGGCTTTTAATCTTGATTACTCAAAAGGGTGGGATTTGCCATGTGTGATGGCACATGCCTGTAATCCCAGCAGTTGGAATAAGGCTTCATGAAGGATTGCTGAGCTCAAGGCCAACCTAGACTTACAAAGTGAAAATCCTGTCTCAACCCCTCTACCAAAAAGGGTGAGATATATTTATTTTTTGAGGAGATGGAACTTGGGACCTTGTGCTTACAAGGCAGGTGCTTATGCCGCTGAGCTATCTCCCCAGCCCCCAAAAGGTGGTATCTGAGAGGTTCAGGTTGTGGCGGGGTTATATTAATCTTTTCTATATAATCTTCATATTGTCCTAAGTGTTAAAGAGTAAATAATCTGTCATTTTTCTCCACAACTATTAAAGAAATGAATACAGAACAGGTTGAAAATTAAATAGCAAAGAGTTTGTACAAGTTAAATAGTTCAGAGATTTTTTTTTTTAAAAAGGTGTTCCTCAGAATGTGAATTTATGGGTAATTTCCCCCCACATAATTGTTATTAATACTGTAAAGCTTCACCCTAAACATAATACCTACATTTTTTTAAATGGTAAAGAGTTTTTAAAATACTCAAACTTACAATAGCTGAGATCTGGGAAGAATAAATGACTATGACCATTAAGGATATGTAGTCTTACTGAGAAAAGCACTTACCAGGTTACTCTATTATGTGCCAAATATTCTTCTGAGTATTTTATATCCTATTTCTCTAAATCATGTTATGAGAAAGGTACTAATAATATTCTCATTTTTTGAAGTAAGAAACTACAAATGTTTATACCTGTGCTAAGAAGATAATCCAATCCAAATGTTTAATAGCTCTATGTACTGAAATTAAATGTTCCTTGTTTTGAGACCATTGTATTTCAAAGAACTTGTTTTTGCTTTTTTTTGCAGAACCAGGGATTGAACTCAGGCCCTTGTGTTTGCCAGGCAAGTGCTTATTCTACTAAGCTATCTCCCCAGCCCCTGTTTTTGCAGTTTAATAGCACAAAAATCATACCTCAATTTGATGACAGATTTTGGCCTCCAGTGCAGCCATTTTTTCATTATCACCATTTTCAGCCATTGTGGCTAATCTGCAAATTTTCCCAAATTGGCAGGAAAAGGTTATCGATGTTTCACATGAAACTCAAGACCAACCAGAAAAATTAGTATTCCTGTTTCCCCAAAAGTCAGAAAATTCTAGTATCACAGGCTCAGTTTCTCTATTCCTCAGGAAAGCAAGGATACTCTGCCTCCCCTTTCAATAAAGAGCTGTCTCCTGTTTTACAACAAGAAAAACTATCTTCATTCAAATGTCTTAGCAAGCTTTAGGGAAAAAACTCCACTTCTCAACAGATCAATATGTACAATATGTATCAGTATACAATTATGGCTCTCTGCGTTATTTGTTGTGAGTTGTATTGTTTAAAATTAAAGCTGCCTTAACAAAAAACTTGGTATGGGCCAAGTTACATATTGTAACTCTAAATTTTTTTTTAAGCATGAATACATTAAAACCACGTAAACTGGGGAAAGAGTGCAATACATCCGTTAACTTATAGCCAGGTTCCAATTTGGCGAAACAACGCGGGCTGTGATGTTAGTTTGACAGGAATCACAAGTCAAGTGTTCACTTACGCTCCAGGAATCTACTGGAGCACTTGGTCATCTGTACTGGATCAAAAGGAACTCCTGCTCAAGAGTATCTGCCACAATTCTAGCGATGTGTACCTTTGGTACACTTCTCGGAGCACCGCCTGCTGTTCAACAACCCGGACGCCCTCTGGCCAAGTTCTCGCAATGGGATTCTACGTAGGTTCACTCTCGTACTGGTCTGTCTACCACGGATCTGGAACCCTAAATTACTACCGTGACAGAGGGCCCCTTAGAAAGCAAGGAGATTAAAGAATTATTTAACCCCTGGCGGACTTCTTTACTCCATCAACGTTTTCCCAGCATTTACAACTAAGCCGAGGCATCACCCACGCCCTCCACCTGGTGGGGGAGAAGGACCCTAAAGCTTCACCGCAACGCAAGGGTCCCCTGCGGGCCCGCCTCCCACGGCCCCAAGACCCCGCGGCGCCCGCCCCACGCCGACCTCCCCAGGAATTCGGGGGCGGCC